TTGTTTGAACCACAAGGTCAGGGGTTTAAGCTCACCAGCCGCTCCTTGGAAACCCTATACAGGGTTGCTATGGGTCAGAACCGACTTGACAGCACTTAACAATAACAACATACAATTTAAAGGAGACCTAGTATAGTGCTGTAGGATAAGCACTAGACTGCTAACTGCAAGGTCAGTGGCTCAAGCCCACCAGCCACTCCTCAGAAACCCTATACAGGGTTGCTGTGAGTCAGAACCAACTTGATGGCAGTTAACAACATAAAATTTTAAATGCAGAAACCTTAAACCTAGAAATTCCACTTTTAGAAATTTATCATAGAGATAAAATCATGCATGGGCAATTACCCATGTATGAAGATAGTTGTCACAATCTTGTTCCATCAACCGGAAATGGGTGAAATAAACCATACAATGGCAAAATGGAGTAATTCTATGATCACTGATAGGGAATTATCCCAAACATGGTACCCTGTAACTCCTGTGCTATGATGCTCCCTTTGTGCAAAACAAACATACACTGATATGCTTGTATGGTGGCTGTCTGCCGTGGAGTCGGTTCCGACTTGAAACCTCAGGGTTCCCAAGGCTGTAAATCTTTACAGGAGCAGAACTCATCTTTCTCTTGCAGAACAGCTGGTAGTTTCAAACTGCTGACCTTGCAGTTCGCAGCCCGATTCGTAACCACTACGCTACCAGAGTGTATATGTACAGGAAATTCTACACTGGTGACTTCTGGGGCTGATCTATTATACCTATACCCTTTACATTGCTTGGACTTGCATGTTTTTAATGCATTCCCCAAACATGCATATTTGCTGTTCATTTATTACACGCTAGGAGTTCTGGTGTGGTGCTGAGGGTTACTGCGCTGGACTGCAAGGTCTGTTTGAATTGCAATGTCAGCAGTTCAAGTGCACCAAATGCTCCTTAGAAACCTTATACAGGGTTGTTATGTGTCAGAACTGACTCAAGGGCACTTAAGAATAACATGCCCTTGTGGCACTTTGTTAGGTATTGGGCTTGTGGGTTAAGCATTGGACTGCTGACTCCAAGTTTGATGGTTCAAACCCACCAGCCACTGTACAGGAGAAAAATGTAATCTTGGAAATTCTATGTAAAGTTGGAATGGACTCAATGGCAGTGGATTTGGGTGGAGGGGAGGAGGTTGGAGAAGTATACCATGAAGTATAACCATGAGTGGTATTTTTATGAATGTAAGCTCCTCCAGGAGCTTACAGGGAGTACAGTAGCTTTGTAGGATAAGCACTAGACTGTGAACCACAAAGTTAGTGGTTCAAGCCCACCAGTCACTTTGCAGGAGAAAGAGGCTTTCTGCTCCTGCAAAGATTTACTGACTTGGAAACCCTATACAGGGTTGCTATGAGTTGGAAATGACTCAACGGAGATGACATGTAGGTCAAGTTAATACTCAAAAGAATTGCTTTTACTTGCTAGACACAGTGCACCCCTTTCCCCCATCCCCTTGGGATAAGATACCTCTAAAAGGAGATGCTTCCTACAAGAGAGTACTGCATATGTACACATTACAACAGTCACTTTCTACAGAGTTGGTTAGTTGATGATTGAAACTGAAGAGTTACCTAACTTCAAAATGTATCATGGTATCCACCACCATCCTAACATAAATAATTTATGAATTAACTGCACATCTCTCAAACTAGAATCTTGAGAGAAAAAAATATAATATGGGCAAATTTAACAATGGTGATAAGGTAAACTTCTGGGCTTTGTCCTTCAAGAGTGGTGTAATGAGATCTTGAATGACCAGGTTGTAAGACTGTACTGAAATTATCAGACTAGGCATAAAAAAAAACAAACAATAACTTAGGAAATGTGAAGACAAATTTAGAATTGTATAGTTTGCCTGGATGGAGCCATATAGGATAAGATAAAAATATATGCTAAGGATTTGTTGACTAAAATTTCCAAAACAATTTCACTTCATAGAAAACGCATTTATAGAAACCAGTCATCAAAGAGTTATGCCATTACTACAAAGTTATAAAAATCAGGACAATGTGGTGCTGGCAAAAGGCTAAACATATATGAGAGTAAAGTCAAAATACGTGTAAGTGGAAAAGTACTGCTACAAAACATAGAAGGAAGCCTTTAATAAACAAAAATATCAAAAGGTGAAGCTATTTTTTCTCCACATGTCCTCCATCTAGGGTTATATAAACTCCTGAAGGCAGTGTTTTCATTTCTCTAACCCTTTCCTGGAACCCTAGCGTGGTGCTGTGGGTTAAGGTGCTGGACTGCAAAGTAGGTTGGAACTACAAGGTCAGCGGTTCAAGCTCACCAGCCACTCCTCCGAAACCCTACACCAGGTCATTATGGGTCACAACCTACTCAACAGCCCTTAACAACCCTCTTCCAAATTATTCTGTACTCTTGGATTTATACATCAAAATAACAGTTTTGGCATCCTCAAGGGACTCAAATCATGTTTTTTTTAAATGTCTGTGGAACAAAAAAGAAATCTGAAAGGGAAAGTAGGGATTTAGGACAGATGGGATATGGTTTCTCAATGAAATTCTCATAGGACAGCCCTTGCTACCCTTGAAAGAATGAGAAGGTGCATTGTCATGATGGAAAAATATTTCTTAGCACAACTTTTCTGAACTTTCATCATCAATGCAGTTTCCAAGTGTCTTAAAACTTCTTCCTATAAAGCCCAGTGATTGTCTGTGCCCTTAGAGAAAATCTATCAAGATAACCCCTTTGAAATACTCACCATACCTTTCTGAGCTGACCTCTCCATAAAGGACAACATCAAGAAAATGAAAATGCAATCCATGGGATGGGAGAAAAATATTGCAAGTAATAAAAAGCCACATATCTAGTGTATGTATAGAAAATTCCTACCACTCAGTAATAAAAAGGCAAATAACTCAAATTGAAAAATGGGCAAAGACTCTAGATAGGCATTTCACCAAAGACAACAAATAAATGACAATACACATGAGAGGATGATGATCATCTTCAGACACGAGGGGACTTTAAAAAGTTGATAGAAAATGTAATTAAATGAGATCCTTCCACAAACTTTCTGAAGCCACCTCGTATGAAAGAAATGCAAATCACAATGATACCAGCTCACGCCACATACTTCAGGACCGTTATAATCAAAGACAGATGATAACAAGTGCGGGTGAGCTTGAGTAGAAATTGACATCTCCAGACACTGCTGATGGGATTGTAAAATGGTGCAGCTACTTTGGAAAAGTTTGGCAGTTGCTCATAATGTTCAATATAACCCAGCAAGCCTGTCTTGTTATGTATCCAAAACCAAATGACTATCTACAGAAAGGTTCAAGAAGCCACATTATTCATGACAGGCCCCAAGTGGCAACAACCCAAATGTCTAGCAACTAAAACAAACAAAATGTGGTATATTCACACAATGGAATGTTAATCAACAATAAAATGGACTTAAGTACTGATACATGCTACAACACAGATGAATCTTTAAGATTACACTAAGTGAAACAATGACTACATATTATATGACCTCATTTATATAAATGTCCAGACTTGATAGAAACATCAGTGGTTACTAACAGTTGGGGGCAATTATGGAAAAAATGGGTAGTGATGCTAATGGCCAGTTTCTTTTTGAGGTGATGAAAACGTTCCTGATTGTGGTGTCGGTTGCACACACACAAGAATACATTAAATTGTACAGTTTAAGTAGGTGATTTATATCATATGTGAATTTCATTTAACAATCAAGGTCATATGGCTGGGTTTTGGACTTGGATCAAAAGATGGATAGTTTGTTGTCAGCAGCTGTTAAAAACAATGTGCTTGATCCAGAAGCAGCAAGAATTGGGTCAGATGAGAAGAACACAGGCATTTGCTTTCATTGATTAATCTAATGCATATTAAATTTTATTAAATATCTCTATAAAACTATTCTGTAAATGAGACAAACCATATGAAAAAAAGGCAGTACGTATTAGGGGAACTGCTACAAGGTCCACTTTGGTCACTATACCGAATAGTCTTGTTTTAGAATGTAGCCTAAAGTTCTAGACTCATTCTAGTGTTGAGTTCACCCGATGAATGCTCATATTCTTCCTTTCTATGCCCCATTTTATCCTATGAATAAAAATTCTATTTCTAACTAATTCAATTTCATTTTTTCCCATTACCATGGTTCAGGAACTGAAGTTGCAGCTTCAGAAAATTATCCATGCTTATAAATTTTACTTATGGAATCCTTTAAGCTTTTCCTTAAAGAAAAAAGAAAGAAACCAGTTGGTTTACATGGCATTTATCTAAGACAACCTTCCTATCCCCCTGCTTTCCCTCCCGGCCAATATACTAACCTTATTTAAACAAAGGTAAGTGAGAATCAGTTCTCTGAAGGCTACGGATTTTGAAAGCCTAGGATTTGAGTCCACCAAGGCACACTGATGTGGCTCTGTAAGATTAAACACTGGTTTGCTAACTGCAAGATCGGTAGTTCAACCCACTAGCCACTCCTTGGAAACCCTATGTAGGGTCGCTATGAGTCGGAACCGACTCAAAGGCACCTAACAACAACAACAACATATTCTATTTCCAAGCTGCAACTGTCTATAGACTATTTTCCAAATTTGATTCAAGCTTTCCTCCCATCATAATGCTGCTCACATTATTCTCTGCCTTATTAACAGTACCCTCCTCCCACTATCATTAGGGTTTTATCTAAATCTTACTTTTCTTTTAAGACTAAGAAGACAAGCTCAACTCATGTAGACTTCCCTAACACTAATGTACATCCAGGAAGTAATGTAATGCAGTACTACAAAACAGGTAGTAGTGGCAGACCATCCCCAAAGCACTCAGAGCAAATGCAAAGGACAGTGCTAACCCTGTCTCCCCCAGTCGAAGGTACTGCTATCTAGGGAAGGTCTGTGAGACCTTAAAAGAGGACAACAATTAGTACAAATATTCATCCGCTTCACAGTTATATAAACAATTTTAATATATACTCAGTAGGGCATTTTCCCCATTGCTCTCAAGATTTCATTTCTTTCAGCTGCTGTAGGCATAGACGGCTTCACTCCATTCTGTCTTCTCTGGATCATGACAGAATTCTGCATGTAGGTATAAAATAAAATACATTTCAAAGAGCAAACCAAAGTCAGTTTTGAATCAAAATCAAAATTATTTGCCATTAATTTGTTATTGCTACCTAAAAATGACATCCTATAATCAAGCTGAAGAACAAAAGACCTAATTCTAGGACTCCAAATAAGTGTTTCCAAAGTATTAATAAGCAAATATACATGATTATTTCCATAGGAATATGTTAACAGTAACTGGGAATGAGCTATATACTACTAGAAAAGCTATAGTCTACTAGAAAAGCTACTGAAGAATTGCTACATCAAACCAGTATTCAATTTAGCACTAGGAAAGGAAGTAGCTGAATCCAGTGTGTAGAAAAACCATAATTATGTACCAATGTCTCAGGAAAAAACGAGACCATTAACTACAATGGGTGACAATGGAAGGGGAGGAAGCAAAGGTGATGTGCTATGGTTGAGAAAGTTACATGGTTTTTTCATCTCTGGAAAACTAAAATTATAACAAGATTGTTTTAGGGTTAGAGGGACTTACATACCAAGAAAGATCTAACTATAGCAGAACTACATTCTTATATCCTACAATAGAATGAGGTTGCTAATAAAGCTCTCAAGGATCCTTTAGGGCTAAAGGATAAAGTTGAAACATTAAGTTTCCCTATAGTCACACCAGGAGTCCTGGTGTGGTACTGTGGGTTAATGCGCCAGACTACAAAGCCATTTGTTTGAACTGCAAGGTCAGAGGTTCAAACTCACCAGCTGCTCCTTGGAAACCCTACACAGCATTGCTATGGGTCAGAATCGACTCGACGGCACTCAACAACAACATTCAACGGACTTCTGGTGTGGCACTGTAGGACCAGCACAGGACTGGAAACCATAAAGTCGACAGTTCAAACCCACCAGCTGCTCCTTGGAAACTCTACACAAGGTTGCTGTAAGTCAGAACCAACTCAACGGCACTTAACAACAACATAGTCACTCAGCAAGGAAGTACTGTGGGTATTGATTACTTTCAGCCTTCAGTTTCAGGTCTAAGAGATGTGGTTTTACAAAACCATAAAGCTCAACAAGCTAGACTTACCCAGAATTTCCGGCAGTTTTTGTACTTCAAGAAGTATGTGGAACACCTTTCTCTGTCATAGTTATTTTCATCCATACATCTGGTAGAAGCATCAGATTCCTTTAATACATAAAATAGCTATCACTTAAGAGTTGGAATGAGAACTAAAAAAAAAAGAAGAAGAAAAAAAAAAATCAAAAAACCTTCTGAAACTACATTCCTTCCAGAGATGGTGGTGAAATGCTGTGAGGTCACTTCTGAGTCAAAGTGACCCTATATAGGGTTTCGAAGGCTGTCAATTTTACAGGAGCAGAAAGCCTATCCTTGTCCTACAGAGCTGCTGGTGGCTTCAACCTGCTGACCTTGTGGTTAGCAACCTAAGGTGTAACCCACTACACTACCAGGCCTCATTGTTTCAACAGGTGTTGTTGTTAAGTGCTGTCGAGCCAGTTCCAACTCACAGCAACCCAGTATATGGTTTCCAAGGAGTGACTGGTGGAATTGAACCAATGACCTTGCAGTCTAGTGCTTATCCTACAGCGTCACGTCTGGACACTAATAAAAATGGAAATATCTCCCGGTCCTCATTCTGCTCAGGCCAGCTGTCTTGTAGGTCAGTTTTCTAAATATTGAATTGTAGTTACTTGTGCTAAGGCATCTATCGAGATCATTTAAATAAGTAACCACCTAACAAACTGAGGCAAGGTGCAATACGCTCAAAGTCACTGCTGCACACCTAAATGAGAGGTCAATCTCCTAATTCACAGCTCAGTTCTCCTGCTTTCCAGTCACTCTGCCCTGAATGTCTAACCTTAAGACTGTTAAGGAAATTTCAGGTAAATCACTAATAACTGGTCTACAGCAAAGCGACTTAAATTAACATCATTCATCACAATGCACATTGGCTATCTTTCACCCCATTATATAAGTAAATACATTACAATGCAAATAATTTCAATAGATATGATTAATATTACTTCAAAACCAAAGTGAGCAACAAAGAACTGTTAAATTCAAAGGAGGGCAGCTGCTGTGGGGAATTAAATCTCAGCTGTTTTAACAGGAATGATACTGCATCACAAACTTCAATGATGCTGAGAGATTATACAGGGACACTTTAGCTAAAGGGGAAAGCGATTTGGTTTCACAGATTTAAGAAACATGGTCTATCGACACAGACTTCCTTAAAAAAGCTATTGAACACTAATCTAATATACAGAGCAAAACTAAATTGCTATACTAAATATTTAATGACTGCATCTACTTGGAAGATGCATACAGAATTAGGGAGTATAATTTCTATACCATCAGTTTAACATTAGGAGTCCTTATGTGGTGCTGTAGGATAAGCAATGGACTAAAAATTGCAAGGATGACAGTTCAAACCCACCAGCCACTCCTTGGAAACCCTACACAGGGTCGCTATAAGTTGGAATTGACTTGACAGCACTGCAACAACAGTTTGAACATTATTCAAAGCTCACAAAGCCACAAGTTAGTGCTGCAGGTCATGTCAAACAAATGCCAATAAAAGCTTACTATTATAATAAAAGGACTCCTGGTGTGGTGCTGTAGGATCACCACTGGATTGCGAACCACAAGGTCGGCAGTTCAAACCCACCAGTTGCTCTTCAGAAACCCTGTATCTGAGTTGGAACCAACTTGACATCACTCAACAATAACAACATTATAACAAAGCATCTTGTTTATATGATACATTTGTGAAAGCCAAGGAACCCTGGTGATACACTGGGTTGCTAACCACAAGGTTGATGGTTCAAACCCACTAGTTGCTCTACAGGAGAAAGATGAAACTATCTGCTCCAGTAAAGATTTATAGTCTGGGAAACCCTATGGGAGCCATTCTACCCTGTCCTAAAGGTAGCTATGGGTAGGAATCAACGTGATGGGTGCGGATTGGGGAGGGGGGAGGGGCGGGTTGTTGTTGTTCTTTCATTTTTTGTATTTGTGAGAACCTTTAAGTTTTCAATCAAGTGATTCTGCTACCAGCCCATTATTCTCAGTTGTTGTTGTTATATGCCGTGGAGTCAGTTCTGACTCACAGTGTCCCTGCACAGCACAGGGTTTCCAAGGCTGTAAATCTCTATGGGAGCAGAAAGCCTCATCTTTCTCCCGTGGAACAGCTGGTAGTTTCGAACTGCTGACCTTAAGGTTCGCAGCCCGATTCATAACCACTATGCTACCAGAGCTCCTTATTATTCTCAGTAAGTTCGTCTTAATGACATGAGGAAATTATTGCATTAACAAGTAAACTTCAGTGGCAGTTTTAAAACGTCCCTTCTAATTTTCCACGTTTGGACTAAAGATTTTCCTCAGTGCTACATATGCCGGACTAATATCATAGTGACAACTAACCACATGCATATTATATAAATGAAGGAAACTAAGGAAGAGATTAATCTTTTGCTGTTAGCTAAATTTGAATACCAAAACATACCCTAGTGAAATAGATATGCTGGCCAGGAATGGTTTTTTTTGTACAAACTTACGTTTATTCAGCAACTACAAAAAGTAGATGCACAAATATTGGAAGGTTGTTTTTCCACCTACCAACATGCAAGGATTTATGTCAGGATCTCTCAGCTTCCGCGTTACCACGGGCATGCTAGTAGTCTTCTTATTCTGCAGGTAAAGGTCAGAAAGAAGTTACAGAGTAGACAAGAGAAAATAAATCTTATTAGTTTAATTGCTGCTGTTGTTTAGTGACATTGAGTTGGTTCATTAGCCCCAGAGATATCTGAAAAATTAATTTTGGCATAATGATTATCTAGTGAAGAATTCCATATATCTTTTGAGAATACAGATTCGGGCATGTTTTTCATTTGTATTGCTCATGGTGTCTCAAAACAAAAATCATGTTTCAGACATCTACTGAAAGCTGACTAGAATGTTCAGTTAAAAAACACTGCAATTTATACTTATTTCTAAAGTTCAAGCAACTAAATGTACTAACAAATCTAAAAATAGAGTAGTCTCTTGTTAAGTGCCGTCCAGTCTATTTTGACCCATAGTGACCCTGTATAGGGTTTCCGAGGAGCAGCTGGTGAGCTTGAACAGCCGACCTTGCAGTTCAAACAGATTTGCAGTCTGGCGCATTAACCCACAGCGCCACACCAGGATTCCTATTTAATGTTAGGGAGTATAATAATGTTAAGGGCCGTTGCATCAGTTCCAACTCATAGCAACCCTGTATAGGATTTCTGAGGAGCAGCTGGTGGGTTTGAACCGCCAACCTTGTGGTTCACAGTTAAGCACACAAAGCAAGTATGAGTGATTTAGTACAGCCCAACTTTAGTAAAACATATATCATGTAAAGTACCTGAGGGTCTACTCTGTGGCCAGCATGTGGTGGACAATATGCCAAAAAGCCAAGCAACTGCTAATTGACATTTTGAAAAGCCAATGCTGTGTTTTGTTTTGAAGTTAGAACTTTCATTCCAATGGTATCTTCTACCTTCTACTTCTGTGGGAATGCTACTGCAGTTCAATATTCTTCCAACTAAAACCTTAGAAATACAGTTCTGTAAAAGTCTTTACTGATTAAAGATAATCATTAAATGCCATCTAATTATACTATTATAAGGCGCTCTGGTAGCGTAGTGGTTACGAATCGGGCTGCAAACCGCAAAGGTCCATGGGAGAAAGATGAGGCGTTCTGCTCCTGTAAAGATTTACAGCCTTGGAAACCCTGTACAGGGTCGCTATGAGTCAGAACCGACTCCATGGCACACAACAACAATAATTATACTATGTTGAGTCATATTACCCCAGGACAACTGATTTTTATAATAGAATCAATTGGAATTTTCCTATTTCTTTAAAGAAAAGTCATAGAAATAAATCATACCAAAGTGATTTGTTTTTTTAATACATACTATTATTTTATTGTTATTAGGTGCCATCGAGTTGGCTCCAACTCAGTGACCCTATATAGAACAGAATGAAACACTGTCTAGTCCTGCACCATCCTCAAATTTGTTGTCATGCCTGAGAGCCTATCACTCTGTCAATCCATTTCATTGAGGGTCTTCCTCTTTAAGACTTACCCTCTACTTTACCAAGGACTGATCCTTCCTGATAACATGTCCAAAGTACAAGAGACAAAGTCTTGCTATCATCACTTCTACAAATGCACACACATACATGAGGGCCCTTCAAAAAAGTTTGGGGGAAAATGGAATTAAAAGATTATGAAATTTTTCCACAAACTTTTTAAACCTCCTCATATACAGTATAGTATATTATTGATGAACCAACCACTTACAAACATTTTATTATGCTTTATACTAAGCTTAAGGATACAAGGTAAGTAGTTCAAACCCACCAGCTACTCCTTGGAAATCCTATATAGGGTAGCTGTGAGTTGGAATCAAATTGATGGCACTTAAGAACAACAAGCTTCAGGAGCTAATTTAGCTTGCACTCCTGAATCCTGTTCTATTAAAACATGTAGTATGACAACAGAACTCCACTGACTGATGTACTATGGTTGCTGTTGTTAAGTGCCATCAAGTCACAGCAACCCTATAGAGTTTCTAAGGAGCAGCTGGTGGGTTGGAACCGCTGACCTTTCAGTTAGTAGTCCAGTGCTTGTCCTATGGCACCACACCAGAACTCCAAAGAATGCATCAGTAACAAGAGTCCTGTTGGGGAGCTGTAGGATAATGCACTGGACCACCAGGTGGACTGAACTGCAAGGTCAGCAGTTCAAATCCACTAGCTGCTCCTCAGAAATCTCATACAGGGTAACTACGAGTTGGAGTTGACTCAATGACACTTAACAACAACAACTTAGTAACAAGACAGAGGCTGAACTTTTATATCAAATTGTTTTTACATTCCCTGCCCAAGATTGGTCATCAAAAAATATGCTTATAGAAATAAAGTGTGTTCAGGAAAAATAATCAAACTCTATTAGTTACTAAAAAGTGGAGGTATTCTCAATGAAGAGTCACCTAGACCACTTTCTGCTAGGGAAATGAAGGTCCAGGCTAAAGAATAATGGAAACGGGTTGGTTCATTCTGGTGTCCTTTATTTTTAGTACCCACTAAGTCATCATTCTATTTTATGATTTTCACTGGACACAACACGTGAATATATCTGTTGCTGTTGTTATTTGCTGTCGAGTTGGTTCTGACTCATTGCAATCCTATGTACAACAGAACAAAAACACGGCCCGGTCCTACATCATCCTTACAGTTGTTGTTACACTTGAGACCATTGCTGCCGCCACTGAGCCAATCCACCTCATTAGGAGGTCTTGCTCTTTTTAGACTATTCTCAACTTCATCAAACATGATGTCCTTCTCCAGGGACTGGTCCCTCCTGATAACATGTCCTAAACATAAGAGACACAAACTCACTATCCTGGACACTAAGGAGCATTCTGGCGGTACTATTTCCAGGAAAGAAATACCTAGCTAATATATTCTGACAAAGAGGAAGTTCAAGATGCTATCCAATTGAGTCTACCTTTCCTAAACACATTCCTTTTCTGAATAATTCTTTTCACAGACTTGACTTCTTCTTAAGAGAGATGATGGCACTAGTAAATTCACAGCATTCTTTTTACATCATTCCTGTAATACGAAAACACAACTATGCTTAGCGCTTCATATTTCTGTATATAATCTCAACAATAATCACATGCAGACAAAAATGAAGTGGCGTGCTTTACATGAAAATGTTTACTCTGTACTTTATCATCAGGCAGGAATTTTAAAAAGATAAAACCTAGCAATATTACATAGGATTCCTGGTGCGGCATTGTAGGATAAGCACTGGAGTTTGAACCACAAGGTCGGCAGTTCAAACCCACTAGCTGCTCCTCAAAAACCTTACACATGGTCACTATGAGTCAGAATGATTCCATGGCATGACTCCATGGCACTACCAGCATGAGGTTTATAACATGAATTTATTCATATTTCATTTCCTTTCTCTTTTTGATTCTAAATACAAGTCAATCTGAGTTTGGGTTTCTGAATGTCATCCCCTTGGCATGGATTTTTCATGTACTAACTGGTGTGGCACTGTGGGTTAATGCACCAGACCACAAAGCTGTTTGAACTGTTAGGTCAGCAGTTCAAGCTCACCAGCTGCTTTTTGGAAACCCTATACAGGGTTGCTATGGGTCGGAATCGACTTGACAGCACTTGACAACAACAACAACGCATAAATGTCAATTTGAAGTGAGGAGCGGGCTGAAATCAAGATAGAGTGTTCTCCTAAAGAGGCCTATCTACTTACTTTTCTTGAAGGTACTAAACAAATGTTATAAGGACCTGCCTGCTTGCAGAGAGTAGCCAGAAAGAAAAACCAAACAAAAAGATTTCAGAAGGGGCTGCACACTGATGAAGAACCACAGCACATTTGAGGGATAACTCTAATACCCACTCGAAAGGGCAAACTGCTTAAGAGGTTAGTTTTGTTTTTTTTTTTAATTTCTCTATCCAATTGCTCATGTCTGCACCCACCAACTAACTTTAAAAGAGAATCAGGGAGAGAAAGGTTACTGAACACGTTCATGCCCACAAGCTGGTCAGAGCAGAGGCAGGGTCTGTGGCACTGATAAAACACAGATGCACCTATCCGGGAGCTGACAGACACCACAGGAGAACCTACCGCTGGGTGTGGAGAAGCAGGGTGCAAGAAATCGAGATCTCCCCAATACCGGAGGGGTTCCTCTAGTCGACTGGCGAGGCCGGACAGAAGCAAATCCTGGTTGTCTAGCTGCTCTCCGTGATGCTGCCTGGCCGTGTCTAAGTCGTGGATGGAAGACACAGGTGAACACACCTGATTCGGGTTTGGACGGTGCCGGGAGGTGCAGGAACAAGTTAAACTGGCAGAGACTGGGAGTGGGGGCGGGGGAGGCGATTCCTCTTCGAAGGCTGGAACCAAGTAGATTGAAGTAAGAGTTTGTGTTGCCCGGAGAACAGGGTCACCTTTCTGCCCATAAGCTCTAAATGTCCCATCTCAGGGAGTGCGGGGAGGAGGGGGGATATGAGAGACGGGAAGGGACCCGGCAACGGCGAGATCCAGTGTGGCCGACTTATCAACGCAGACTCCGGCCTTGCGGCGACGCAGGTAAGTCTCTCTCTCCCGTATCACCGCAGCCGCTGCAAAGGGAGGGCGAGGGGACCACTCACCTTAGTAGTAGCTCAGTCAGGGCCCAGCAGTCTCCAGCTCCAAACACGTCAGTGGCTCACGCAGCAGAGCCTTAAGTAGCGCGCATCCGAACTTGCTGTCCCCGCTGCCCGGCGACCGTTCGACCAATCGGCTTGCGTTGCCGATAGACTGACAGCTGCGCTGGGCCTTAGGCAGTGGGGGCGGGCACGGCTGGCCCCGCCCCCGGTCCGCGAGGAGAAAGCCGAAAGGGGGGCGGGCGGAGCGGCGTGCGCAGTCCCGCCCCTTCCCCCGCCCCACCGCGCCCCCCGCCCC